CCAAAATTTACACTTACTATTGGGCTTGTTTGATACCTCTAGAGACCAGGATGGGAGAGATTTTTGTGTTGTTTGTGATTTTTCTCTATCACTGTTCACTGTATTTCCCAGTCTTTTCTCACTCTTGCTGTGACTCTTGCTCTTGACCTGCTTCTCTGCCAACAATCCCTGGCTGCTTTATATGTTGACTCCTCCCACCGTCTCTCCCAGGCAGAACCCAGACCTGGATAGGTCCCAAGTTTTTCTTTTCCTCCTCTCTGTGATAAAGTAACTGTGTCTCTTTAATGTGTTAACATTATTTGAAAGAGGATGCAGCTGAGGTGATAAAAGCATACGCAAAAGAATTTCATAGAAGTTTTGATACATATTAGGCTCTAGGGAGGAACACAATTTTGTGTCCACGCTCTTCTACTAAGCATTAAAAATAAGTCATTGTACACAGGGCTAGGAAAGTGAACATTAAGGATAAGACAAATATGACAGTTTTGTCTTATATGTAGCATGATACTGGCCCTCTTAACTTTTAAAAAGAATTCTCTTGGCTCTTCCTTTTAGAAGCTTAGTAACAGGAATATTCATTCTTAGAGATCCAAAAGGAAAGCGAAAAGGAATCCAGAGCAAAGGAGAGTAGGAAAGAGGAAAGTAGGAGAGTATACATGGAACAAACAGCTTAGAGTATTTCTGTTCTAACCAGTTTTTCCATCTCTCCTATTATTTTCAGAATGCTAAGAACTAGATAGACAACTATAATTAGACTCTGAAATAAAGAAAAGGTACAAGAAAAATGTTCAGGTCTTTGAGAGTCTGGAAATTAGGCCAATGGAACAGAAAATGACTTTGTGTGGTTCAGACCTAGTCAGAAATGATCCAGACCTGATCATCTATTAACAAGTTAAGGACACAGATCCTCAAAAATATGTGAATTTATGTTTTAGCCTACAACCTTATTTCTTCATACACCTCTCTTTCACAACAGCAATTTAAAGGGCAAAAGCTAAAAATTATTGCATATGATTATTTTCTCAGTCTGTTAAACATTCTTCTGTTAGATAAGACCAAGAAAAAATTAACTGATAAAAATTTAGTGTGATCTTTACCACAGTCATGTAAGCACATTTCTGTACTAACTCTGTAACTAAAAACAAGATGTGAATTTATTTTCATAAAAATACAAATTTATCAATTTATTCATTCAAGACTTCATTTTATAACAAGTAAAAAATTAAGAATTCAAAGAAAATAACTACAACTGGTTGTTAATGTGGGGTGTATATGACATTGTTCTATGTATGCTTACAAAGAGCTGATTTCCCACGTTTCTTAGGCTTACTACAGTTATTAATAACTGAAACATTGCCACTGTAGGATATTACAGATATTGGAGAGACCTTTGAAGTATTACAGTATGTAATTTATTACCATAACATTCTTCAGACATTGAGAAGACTAAGATCATTTCTGTTTTAAACATGTGAGCTTTCCAATGACAAAACCATAAAAGCACCATGGCTCCAGCATAGAAACCATTTGCAAGAAACTGAGACTAATATTGACTAACATATGCCTAATCCATGGCAAAGTCTTCAGATGTGTAAAAGGTTATTATTCTTTTCTGTTTTATGATCAGAAAACAATGGTTCAGAACAAGTAATGATTTTCCTATGGTGCCTGTATTATCAACATTCTAATAGCAACATTCACTCAAATTCTATTAATCAAAAGGAACATTTATTACTTATAACATTCCCACAAAGACTGTAGTGGAATTCTTTAGGTTGAATGTCAGAGACAGTTTTTGACTCTAGACCTCTTATCTCGGCCATAGTAGAGCAAGTTGCAGTTGCTGATGAATGACCAGTGAATCATAAGCGCCTTAATCCACATAAGCTAAGGAATGCCCCACACCCTACCTCCCCCTGAACGCAATCCATGTGTGAGTTAGCACCTCAGATAGATTCCACATGCACCTAGTACCATGTAGCATTTGTCTTCCTGTGCTTGGCTTATTTTACTTGGCATGCTGTCTCCAAGGTCCATCTCTGTTGTCACATATGACAAGATCTTCCCCTTCTAAAGTTTGACTTGGTGATAAGATAAGCTTTAGTGATTTATTGTTCAGATCAGTGACAATATCAAATAGTGGAAGTACACCATATACTTCAAAATTGTTGGAATGTTAGACTCTGTTTTCATTCATGACAAAAATATGAGGTATTAGAAATGCCTTAATCATTCCATACTATGAATCTATGTCAAATCTATTGTCTCCTATCAACTTCTATAATTATAATCATCAATTAAAATTGAAATATAATAATAAGTCTCAGAGAAGCATTTAAAGATTAAGTGAAGACCTTAAAACTAAGGTTTTTAACCTTTCTAACCTCAGTCTATAAAAACTGTTGAAACAGACAAAGAAAATCCAGGATAGTAACATAGTCATAAAACCAAAAGTTTAAACACTTTGGGAAGAATGCAGTATTTTGAAATTGGAGATATGCTAGAAATTTTGGAAGGTATAGTCATTATGGCTACACATTAAAAATATATGTTAAGACAGAGAACGAGTCATCATACAGTATTGACAATCGAATGCATATTAATTAGGATTAATTTTGGGAACTGAGCCATAAACAGATATATAAGAAACTTACAATCTAAAATGAGAAATTTTGTTTATATCCAAATTATTATTTACAGGGTAGAATACTATAGCCAAGACACTGTTAATGCTAAATGGAAGTTAAACACAAATAGCAATAATTCCTTCTTGACAGGTGTGGTGTCAATCACCACAATCTGGGAACTGGAAAAAAAAGAGGAAAGCCTCATAGAGTATCCAAGATCTTGTTCTTAAAAATATTTTTGAAACACTCAACTTACCTTGGACTTCATTGAATAACTTAGAAAAAGTTATACCAAGCTCCATGATGTTATATATATATATATATATATATATGTATATATATATCCATTATCTTTTAATCTTTTTCCAATTTTGAATTTAGATATTATCATGCACATTTTACAGGTGAGGATACTGAAATTCTGATGACCTATGAAAGTTACAGAGCTAACAATCGATAACACCAATGTCTTTGTGTATTTGGGGGAATACAGTAGGTGCATGTGTGTGCACATGTGTGCTCATGCATGTGGAAGCCAGACAACAATCTCTAGTGTCATACCTCAAGAAGTCATTCACCTTTTTTTTTTATAAAGTCCTTTATTTTTACCTATAACATACCAGTTTGGCTAGGCTGGCTGACAAACAAGCTCTAGGAATCCATCTGTCTCTGCCTCCCCACCACAGAGATTACAAGCATGTCCCACTATGCCCAATTTTTTTACATGGGTACTAAGGATCAAACTCAGGTTCTCATTTTTGTGTAGCCCACACTTTACCAACTGTGTCAACCCTAGTCCCAGAATTTTAAGCTAAATATTAACCAGAAATGTTCATCCATTCTCCCAATATTTTCCCACTTACTCAATCCCAAAGTGATATTTTTAAAAATGGGTTTTATTCTAGGAGGTAGTGAAACTCAGTGATTGATTAGAAGTACTTGAAACAACATACTTACAAATTCTTCCACAAACCTTACAGTACAGTCTGTTTACTCTGATAAAAGCAACCCAAAAAATGAAAAGATAAGGGAATCCTGGCTCACAAGTTGTTACAATTCATGGGGTCATGTCATCCAGTGAAAAAAAAATTCTTAAATATTCTCATTCTCGCTGTCTCTCTGTCTCTGTCTGTCTCTCTGTTTCTGTCTCTGTCTCTCTGTCTCTGTCTCTCTGTCTCTGTCTCTCTCTCTGTCTCTCTCTCTGTCTCTCTCTGTCTCTCTCTCTCTCTCTCTCTCTCTCTCTCTCTCTCTCTCTCTCTCTCTCTCTCT